AGAATTAAGTGGAGAAGTAATGCACTTGACCTTGTACATCAATTATTAGGTTCTATGTTACCAAAGTGCAAATTTTCTTCCGAAAGTGTTGGATTCAAATCTTCTTTTTTTTTTTTCTTCTTCTTTTTTTATTTAAATTGTATTTAGAAACTCAAAATTAAACCTTATACTTATAGTTAAGAATACAAATAATTTTATTATTAAATCACATGACTGATGGTTCAAAATATTTTGTCTTAATATAAAAAAAATAATTTCTTTCATTACTCTTCTTTAATTGGATTATCTTATCTTATGTAGGCTTAATTTAGTTTTATTATTTTAAACAATTAATAATAGATAATTCAAATAGTTAAAAAAAATTATATAATTTATATATAAAAAATTAAATTTTATTTAATAATTTTTATTTTATAATTCAAATTCTAGGAAAGAATTTTCAAAAACAAACAAAATTGTAACTTTTCTATTCATTCTATGCTCAACAATCCTATCTGGGGTTAGGCAATTATTTAACTTAAAAGAAAGGAGCATCATTACTAAATTTCACTATTATGTTATTATTCTCAACCAACTAAAGATATAGCCTTTATCACCAGTATTGTCATAATACACATCAATAATTAGTTTCAGAGTAATTATATTGTCCAATGACAAAAGAACATCAGAGTGGGCATTTCTTCTAATAAACATCATAATGGATATTCATAACCAATGATAATTGTAAAGTGAGCTGCATGATCCCTGACACTTCCTACTGTTGTGCCATGAGACATGCAAAACCTAACTGCAACCTTTTACTAATAGCGTACGGAATTATTCGTAGGTATTTGTGAAATTAGTCTTCCATAGAGATCACAAAAGACAAAAGGATGTGTTTTCGCCTTCGAGATATCAAGTAATCAAACCATAACGTATTAGTGGTATTACCACCACGTCCGAGGAAAGAGACCATCTTTACGGAATGATTTTTTTGACAACAATTTTTTACTGTCATTGTTTATCATGGCACGTTATTATAATTTGATTTTGATTTTTTAATAATGAAAATCTATTAAATCTTTTGTAATATTACAAAACATCAAACAATTGTATATGTAACATCTGTAGTTTTTGTTATTTTGATTCAGGTGCATTGAACTTTTGATATTTGTTAATGTTTTACCTGTTATAATAACGGTTAAATTATTCACATTTTTTCACATTCTCTCTTGTTCAAAAAAAAAAAAAAAGTGTATATATAATATCATGTACTTTACTTAAATTAAAAGAGTTAATAATTAAAAACTAAAGTATGAATTAAAATTAACATAGATGTGCCATATTAAGTAATAAGTAATGGTCTTAAACAATGGTTGTCCAAAAATCATTTCTGCCTTTTCTATGCTTGGCTAGCATGATCTTAATTTTTTATTTTACTCGTATATGGGTATTCTACTTGGGAAGATCAAGTTTCTATTATTAGAAAGAATAATTTTATGTTATTTCACTCTTGGATTGCAGTCTTTTGCGTTGTGCACATGTGCTGTTGCTTGGACATCTAAAAGTCTTTCCCCTTATTTATTCCGTCCAAATTGATCAAGTAATGTTTTCAGTATGGTGCACGTGAAATGGAATCATCTAGGTACATATATGGCAGAAGAGTAAAATGCTCATAATATTTAAGTAAATTAATATTTAAAAAATTGAAAAAAATTGTTACCTTAAAATTTTACTTTGAAGAAATTGACCTAAATTAGACTATTGTTCTTATTAATCCAATACTTGAATTGAGGGAAATAAAAAAAAAAAAGTTTTTTAATCAATCAAATTATAACATCTTAATATTATAATTTGTTCCCTCCGCTCCATTCATTCCTCCTAATCTGAATACATTATTATAGTGTAGCAAAAATTTGATACTAACCGTTAAATTCAAGTCAACTTCTTTAAAATGAAATTTTAAAGTAACAATTTACTTTAACTTATTTATTGAGTACTACTTTACCCTTAACTCCAAAATATTGAGGGTAATTTGCACATTTAGCTGTTTCTATATTGGTAAGGCCAAAGACAGAAATTGTTTTTATTGTTGATGAGAGTCAAGAACTAACCCTCCCCCTCACCGTCTATAAGAATGAATTAATACATAAATTTATTAATACCAATGGTTTAATTAATAATAATATGGTAAGAGTTAGAACAAGCTCTGCTCACAGATGTATATTTGATAAAAGGTACAATTACTCTTAAATGTAAATTTTAGCGTGCTTTCTAACACTAATATCAGAAATTCAAACAAAAGGGCATGCCCACGAAGCCTCTCAGCACTTTCCAAATTTTCTTGAATCAAATCTTCATAATGTAATTTCCTGTTTTAGCAAACATAAGAAGGAAAAATGAAGATTCCTACAATGCAAAATTAACTTCCTATTGATGGCTTCAAATTTTTCATTCTTTACTTTTCGCTCTGTTGATACTTTTCTTGAAGAGGAAGAGCGGAGTGGGGATTGGAGAGGCTCCTTTTGGGAGCTTAAACAAGCATCCAAGAAATAGATGGAATTATCAAATAAAAAGAAAAGAAAATGAAAACAAGTGGGTCACACTTCACAAGAACGATAACATGATAGCATAGCGATCAAACAAATTCAGACACTTCTCCTTTCACTTCCTCTCTCATTGAAAGGGCATGGGGATTAGACATGCATTTAAAAAGGAAACAAAGGAAGAGGTTACCTTATGGCTTTAACAAGGAGAACATAGATGCATGACAATGGATGTAACTGGCCAAAATAGTTAACTGAATCTCCCTCTCCCCCTTCCCTTTCCCTTCCTCCCTTTACCGTTGCCCCTTCCCCTTCCCCTTCCCCTTCCCCTTCCTCTCCCTCCAAGTTCCCCTCCACTATCCTCTCTCTCATAGTTAAACATGCTTAATCTAATATTTTCTGCCTCTGTGTCAGGCGCCTTTTGTACCTGTGCATGTAGGAAAGAATTCAGTCAAACATTGCAAGATATTAGAAAACAAAAAACATAGCAAAACAGCAATAAATGAACAAATGCTAACGTGATAATCTTCCAAATCAAGTTGACTTTGTAGTTGCCATGCAAGGTCCTCATCGTGACTGGTATCCATATGCTCATTTTTAATCTGAAGCTTTGTACTAGCTTTCCTCTTTTCCCATTCATCCAGAGTGTAAGTCACAGGTTCTTCTTGTCGTTCCTTGCCCCTGTATTTTCTTCCTCTAGAACGTTGATCATTGGGGTTTGCTTTACTCATTTTCTGCAGAAGCTTCTGAGAAGCTGCTTGATTCTGAACAGGGACAGACTCAACCACTGGCAAAGGAAACATATATATGTTAGTATAGCTACCGAAAGTCAACTTGAAAGAATAATAATGGAATAAATAAACTGGCATCATGTTTGGATATTTATGCACTTAAGAGAACCACAGTAGCCACCCACATATTTTACCCTTGTAAGTTGATTTAAAATTTCACAAATGCCTTTTCTTTTCTTGAAGTTTGAAAGGCCCAACCAGATTTTATAAGAATGGTAGTAATAGTACAAAGCTCGAGTTGAGTCAAGCACCTAAAGAATCAAGCTCAGCTTGTTTGTTAAACAAGCTCGAATCAAGCTACTCAGCTCACTAACATCATGTCTCTTCTGCTCCTTGGTATAAAAAATTTAAACCACATCCCATGTGAAATAAATAAATAAATAAATAAGAAAATAGAAAATCATTTTGTAAGTAGATTAATTTCTCCATCCCGTTTAGCACTGAAAAGGAAGTTACCTCTTGCTAGACCACTGATTATCAGAAAATATAAAGTTTTCAGTTGGAGATGTACCTTCCTTTGGTCTTGCTTCGGAGGTACTTGGCTTTTCTTCAGTCCTTCCCATAAGGGAAGTATCCAAATTATCTGTTTTTAATTCAACAGTTTGATGGCTTCTCTGCCTTCTTTCAGTATTCACAGCAGAATCTGACGTACTAGGCCCAGATCTCTTCGACGATGACTCTGAGAAATCTGCAGATCATAACTTTTCAAATCATGAATTACACCTCTATCAACCTAGAGATTAAGATAAACAACTCTATATCACATCAAAGCCAAAAAAAAGAATGTTATCTCAAGGGCTTTATGGACTAAATATGGCACCCCCCCCACACATAATAATTAACTTTCCTACAAAAAAGGCCAAATGGCTCATTGTGCATTTCCTTGTTTTGCAAAGTGCAAACTTTCCTTCTATTCTCCATGCACAATGCATACTCCGGAAAATTAACAAGTCAAGCCACCAAAATTCAAATTTTATTATTGTAAGATTACAGATAGGACATATAAGTGCTCTTTTTATTTTTTTATTATCATACAGGTGCTTCAATACCAGATAAAAGAAGAATTCCAAGAACAAAAGTAAAGGCAAAATTGATGAGATGCTGCTAATTAGCTCCTCAATGACATACAGATGACAGTTATGTTATTCAAGATGAGAGATGAAAAGATATGTGTTTATATATGCATGTTTTGTCTAGTCAACTATCAAAATGTAAATTCATAAGGCCTAATTTTTCTTAACTTTATTTTAAGGTTTCCAACAATGCAATCATCAGAGAGAAGGTTCTTTTTGGTTCAGTTTTGCATGAATAAAATTTTTTTTTAAAAGATAAAAAAAGGGGAAAACACTGCACTGACAAGATGATCTGCGTGGTTGAGCAAATTGATTCTTAGAAGGTGCTTCAATTTGCAACTTCTCGAATGGGGGAGGACCACTGGTATCATTTTGCTGGTCACGTGAGATGCCTGAATATTTTCGGTTCATCTCCCATTCTTCATGAAGTGATTGAACAACACCCCCCAACACTGTTATCACTTTAGGATTCAAACATACAATCCCACTATGTATTATAATTTTATTTTCCAACCGAACCTGCCAACAAAAGCATAGCAACGATAAAAATATGAACAATGGTACAGTTCTTTGTATAATAATAGTGTGGGGATCCACTTAACAAACAAATCTTACACTACACACTTACACAAAATCTCAACCATTCATCCCTCCACTTTCAATGGTTGAGATTTATTCACATTTATTAAAGATAATTATTTTTTTCATCTAAAAAGTTGTGATAAATCTCAACCATTGAAAGTAGAGAAATGAATGGTTG